TGGCAAATTTTGTTACATTGAATGTCTTCAGGGAAACTTCTCTCATATTAGAAAATAATCTTTCAGATGGGAACAGTTACCCATTTTGCCTACCACAAAAATGAAACAAGTCAGTGGCAAAGAGAACACATGTTGATATCTGTGTGTGTGTCCCATTTCTAGAGTGTAAGCTTCAGGAGGGTGGCAGGTCCATGTTCTGTGAGAGCAGGCTGGGAGTGCAGTTTTTACTAGTGGGGTACGTCCCCGCATCTGCCATTCAGAGGTCCTCAGTGTGTAGAGTCTACGGAATGAGCCAGTGAGTCCCCAGCCCATGATGTACTTTGTGTTCATTTAATACCTTATATGAAATTATAAACTCACCTCTCCCCTTCTCTGCATCCTCCTAAAGTATAATTAGTACTACTAGTGGAAGGAAAACCCTATGTAAAGTTTAAGGTAAATCCTGTTTTTAAAGGACATGAGAATCCCTGTTATTCTATAATTGATGAAAATGGAAACCTATTCTATAGAAAGTAAGAAAGGCTCTGTTTTTGCTTCCAAAATTATCCACATAAATTAAATATTTGATACACTCTACACTTGCAAAAACAAAATAATGAAAGGTTATTATGCCAAAACAAACATTTCCTTTTCAAAGCATTGATACCTAAGAAAAGAAAATACTGTTTAATTCTTCTATTACAATACAAATGGAAGATATTCCTAGTAACTGATAGTTTTCAACTTTTTAATTGGTGTTTTACACAAATTAAAGGTTGATTTTTTCCCCCGTTTTATTATTAAAATATTACTGTACGTTTTTGTTTCTGATATGAAGGACACATGGTCCTTTTTGTCACCTGTTCGCCTTTCCCATTCTTAGTATCTAATACAATATTATGTTAGTGATTAACTGATATTTATTGAGTTGAAGTTATCATTTACTCACAATGAACTATCATGTACAAAGTTTAGAAAGGATGTTCTTATAATTTTTTTAAAAAAATAGTGCTTTTTAGTGAGATCTGAAATGCAAAGATTCTAGTCAGCTGACTAGTGATAGAGAATGAGTTGTACAATAATGTAGGTTTATACTTGTACTCTAAATTTTTCTGTGTAATTTCATGATTTTAATTCTCACAACACTCTGAGGAAATGTTCTCATTGTAGAATTGAGGAAACTGAGATTCAGAGTGGCTATGTGAATGTTCAAGTCATTGGCATAATTCTTGGGCTAGGATTTGATTTCAAACCTTCTAACTTTCATCTTCTGACACTTCTGCCTTGCTTATCAAACTTCTGCTATACAGTTGATTCTATTCCTTGAACAAGCCTGACTAGTTTCTGTGTCAGAGCCTTTGTTGTTGCTCCAGGCTGATCCCTGGGAAGCCCTTTCCCTACAGCTGCCTGCAGATGTTGCCTCTCATCCTAGGTCATGGCTCAATGTCTTCTAATAATTTAGTTTTGAAAGGCTTACCCTGACTACCTTAGCTAAAGTTTTCCTTCTTCTCTACTTAATCCATTTGCACACTCATCCTGTTTGTGTCCTTTATAACACTAATCACAGTTACATTATCTTACTTGTTGGCTTATCGCTTTTTCTGATGAGAGTCTGAGATCCATATATGAGGGCAAAGACTCTCTGTCTTGATCACTGTTCTCTTTAGCACCTAAATCAGTGACTGGAACTTATAGGCACTCAATCCATATTTGTTGAGAAGAAGAAAGAAAGAGAATAAATGAGAATCTAGACACAAGCCTCAGAGTTCTTTCTCACTGGAGGGTTTGGTATAGATTACATATATAAGAATGAATATACTATGGATTATGTATATAAGATTATATATATATAAAGGTATAGATTATATGTATGAAGAGATTATATATATAATCTATACCTATATATAAGATTATATATAATCTTATATATAGGTATAGATTATATATATAATCTCTTCATACATATAATCTATACCTTTATATATATATAATCTTATATACATAATCCATAGTATATTCATTCTTATATATGTAATCTATACCAAACCCTCCAGTGAGAAAGAACTCTGAGGCTTGTGTCTAGATTCTCATTTATTCTCTTTCTTTCTTCTTCTCAACAAATATGGATTGAGTGCCTATAAGTTCCAGTCACTGATTTAGGTGCTAAAGAGAACAGTGATCAAGACAGAGAGTCTTTGCCCTCATATATGGATCTCAGACTCTCATCAGAAAAAGCGATAAGCCAACAAGTAAGATAATGTAACTGTGATTAGTGTTATAAAGGACACAAACAGGATGAGTGTGCAAATGGATTAAGTAGAGAAGAAGGAAAACTTTAGCTAAGGTAGTCAGGGTAAGCCTTTCAAAACTAAATTATTAGAAGACATTGAGCCATGACCTAGGATGAGAGGCAACATCTGCAGGCAGCTGTAGGGAAAGGGCTTCCCAGGGATCAGCCTGGAGCAACAACAAAGGCTCTGACACAGAAACTAGTCAGGCTTGTTCAAGGAATAGAATCAACTGTATAGCAGAAGTTTGATAAGCAAGGCAGAAGTGTCAGAAGATGAAAGTTAGAAGGTTTGAAATCAAATCCTAGCCCAAGAATTATGCCAATGACTTGAACATTCACATAGCCACTCTGAATCTCAGTTTCCTCAATTCTACAATGAGAACATTTCCTCAGAGTGTTGTGAGAATTAAAATCATGAAATTACACAGAAAAATTTAGAGTACAAGTATAAACCTACATTATTGTACAACTCATTCTCTATCACTAGTCAGCTGACTAGAATCTTTGCATTTCAGATCTCACTAAAAAGCACTATTTTTTTAAAAAAATTATAAGAACATCCTTTCTAAACTTTGTACATGATAGTTCATTGTGAGTAAATGATAACTTCAACTCAATAAATATCAGTTAATCACTAACATAATATTGTATTAGATACTAAGAATGGGAAAGGCGAACAGGTGACAAAAAGGACCATGTGTCCTTCATATCAGAAACAAAAACGTACAGTAATATTTTAATAATAAAACGGGGGAAAAAATCAACCTTTAATTTGTGTAAAACACCAATTAAAAAGTTGAAAACTATCAGTTACTAGGAATATCTTCCATTTGTATTGTAATAGAAGAATTAAACAGTATTTTCTTTTCTTAGGTATCAATGCTTTGAAAAGGAAATGTTTGTTTTGGCATAATAACCTTTCATTATTTTGTTTTTGCAAGTGTAGAGTGTATCAAATATTTAATTTATGTGGATAATTTTGGAAGCAAAAACAGAGCCTTTCTTACTTTCTATAGAATAGGTTTCCATTTTCATCAATTATAGAATAACAGGGATTCTCATGTCCTTTAAAAACAGGATTTACCTTAAACTTTACATAGGGTTTTCCTTCCACTAGTAGTACTAATTATACTTTAGGAGGATGCAGAGAAGGGGAGAGGTGAGTTTATAATTTCATATAAGGTATTAAATGAACACAAAGTACATCATGGGCTGGGGACTCACTGGCTCATTCCGTAGACTCTACACACTGAGGACCTCTGAATGGCAGATGCGGGGACGTACCCCACTAGTAAAAACTGCACTCCCAGCCTGCTCTCACAGAACATGGACCTGCCACCCTCCTGAAGCTTACACTCTAGAAATGGGACACACACACAGATATCAACATGTGTTCTCTTTGCCACTGACTTGTTTCATTTTTGTGGTAGGCAAAATGGGTAACTGTTCCCATCTGAAAGATTATTTTCTAATATGAGAGAAGTTTCCCTGAAGACATTCAATGTAACAAAATTTGCCATGCCCATACTACATACAAAGCACTGAATTAGGCTCTGTGGGAAAAATACAAAGGTTATTCACAATCTCTTTGAGGAGTGAAACAAATACAGGACAAACAATGAAGATGGATATAAAAAGTGTTACTATAAAAGATAGGAAGCCGAGTTTAATATGGCTAGAGGAACAGAGAAGGACGGGACATCTGAGGGACTTTGAAGGACGAATTTATTGAACGGAATTTTACAGGGTCATGAAGAGATATGTTTGAGTAAGAAGTAGTATGTGACTGAGGATTATTATAAGCAAATTAAATGTATTTTCACAACCAGTATGAATTTCAGACATGATTTTTAAGACATTTTTTAAAACTCTGAAGAATACATTACCAAAACCAACCAACCTAGTTCAACATAATGCAAGTTACAGTCATTAATTTTCCTTAGAAGAGGCTACTAAGAGTTGAAGTGAAACAGCAAATTGTTTCAGCTTTGTTCAACTATAAAGTGAGAGAACTCAACTACATGACTCTTAAAACTCCTTTCTGTTCTAAAATGCTATGATTTTATGATTCCTTGCTTAGAAATTTGACTTAGATGGATAAATAAACTCTATTTACATGAAAATGTTAAGATGTGCAATCTTGTCTCAATGAAAAATGAGAATATTGACTTAGATTCAGTTTTATATTCAACTCTTGTGCATTTGCCCATATTGCAAAGAACATTCATCCGAATTAGCAAAAAAGCTTTACGTGGCAGCACGCTAACCACCAAAATATTTGAATAAATTATTTACTTCAAAAAAGTTTTAAAGAGAAAGGAAAATGAAGACAACAAAGAAATATTTTGCAGAGCAGCTCCAACAGCTGGACTTTAGTTTTCAATGACATGTAGTGTAAATGGGCATCAATGACTAAAGCTTTACTTCCTCCACTAGATGCTGCTGCAAATGTTTACCAAAGTAACTGTGGTTTTATTAAAGTGAGCAAGACAAAATAAAGGCTAATACACATTTAGATGAGGTACAACCTCATACATTCTATAGCGAAGATAAAATCCAAAAAATAATTACTATAAATGTTACAGAAGTAACAAAAGCACCCAAAAAAATCACATAGGACTAGATATTAACAGAAATAAATCAAATCAGAATCTTTGTTAAATAGCCTTAACATCTATAATAGATTAATTTTCCAAAGGAGTATCACAAAAAAATATAAACTTAAACTTACTTGGTTCTAGCTTCTTCAGGTCCTCCAGTTTAAATTCTTCTTGAGACTGTGTGGACTAAATTTAAAATAAGCATATTACATCTTTTCACTACAAAGATTTCACTGCACCCTGTCTTTTAAGCGGCAAGAACCAAATATTCCAAAGGAATCTATTTCTTGCTTTCAAGGTAGAAAATGAAAAGTCTCAAACTGGTTTTTGTTTATTTTTGGAACAGTCAGGCCAAAAATAACAGAAAAAACTGAAGTCATATATTTTATTTTACAATGTACAAAACATGAACTAAAAAAGTATGAATTTAATATATGCTGTTATAAAACACTTCTGAGACAATACTGCTTTTGAAATGAATGTCTAATGTTTTATGAGAATAATGCAGAATAATTTATTTTCCTTGTATAAGAGAGGAGAAAAACTCCTTACCTGTAAAGCTGCACTTCGCAATTCCAAGCATGTTGCAATTTTGCCTATGGTTTTCTGTAGAGGAATAGAAAAAGCTATATATACCAAAACTGTCATAACTGTTAGTTCAAATCATCAAGTTAATTTTTATTAATAAAAGATCCATAATTCTCTTAAATAAGTTAAACTTTATTTCTTTCTGGCATCTTTCAGACTTCAGAGAAAAGAAATAAGAGGCAAAGGGTTGGGATGAGGGAGAGAAGGTGAGTATATATATTCTCCCCTGACCTAATGTGCCACAACTAATTCTAACTCAAGTTTGCTTTGATGACAGCTGTAGATATGATTTGAAGGGCTGCCTGGTATCTTCTGTTCCAAGCTTCACCTTTTCTTCTCCATAAAGCCTAAAATTCACTTTTTAAAAGGCTTAAAAATATCTGAAAGTTAGCACAATGATATAACTAATTTAATTTTGACTTAAGTCCAACACCAACTTGTTTAATTAAATACATAGGCAACACTAAGCAAAACTGATATTGTGATAAACGGTGATAAATTTTATAGTTGGATCTGTTTTATATAACATGAGCTGTAAAATGGATATTAATGATAGGGCATAGATAGCATTTGCCTTTAATAAGCTCATGTTGTATTAGGAGAGATAAGACAAATACAGAATCATTATAAAAGAAAGCAGACATTTGATTGTATGAGCTTTAGCAAGATATGCCATTATATGACCTAAAGAAACAGAACAAGATCTGTATTAGGAATCAAGCCCCAATGACCAGAAGGATTTCTAAAATTAAACAGTTTAGAAAATTGTCACGGTTCAATTGTCTCAAGTCTCAAACTGAAAGCAGAAGGAAAGTAAAGTTAGGAGAAGGGGGCTGTCATTCTGAGGTGGACCTCCAATAACCAGCTGAAGAATCTGTGATTACTTTAGCAGTAATTACACAGAAGGTTTTTTTGTTGTTGTTTTTTGTTTTTTTTAAACTCTTTCAGATCTGCCCTTTAAGAAGACTACTGTGGCCAGGTGTGGTGGCGCACGCCTGTAATCCCAGCACTTTGGGACTCCGAGGCAGGCAGATTACTTGAGGTCGGGGGTTCAAGACCAGCCTGGCCAACATGGTGAAACTGTCTCCACTAAAAATACAAAAAAGTAGCCGGGTGTGGTTGCAAATGCCTGTAATCCCAGCTACTGGGAAGGCTGAGGCAAGAGAATCACTTGAACCTGGGAGGTGGAGGTTGCAGTGAGCTGAAATCACGCCACTGCACTCCAGCCTGGGTAATAGAGTGAGACTCCATCTCAAAAAAAAGAAGACTATTGAAATAAAAGTATACATAGATTGAAGTAGGAAAGGGCAAAGACTAAAGGCAAAATCAATCAGGTTATTTCAATTGTCCAGGTAAATAGTAATCAGAACAAAAATAGGAATAACTAGGGTGGAAATTAAAGAGAGATTCACATAAGAAACAAGTATCAGGGCAGGCAGCTGAATTATGTCCATCAAGGCTTTTAAGTCCTTCCAAAAGAGATGCTTCTTAAGTTTTTATTAGGAATAAATCCAGATCATAAAAGTATTTATGTACAATGTCTGCAATGCCTACACAGTGAATATTATGGGAAGGAAAAAAGCATGTTTTTCTAAATGTATTGATAACTTGCAAAAGTTTAGTAAATTGGACTTGGTGGTTTTCTCTTTTATCAATTTTCTTTGGAAGGTGAATAAGGAGCAAAGAGGAGTAACAACTGCTGTCCTGGCCCCAGCACTTATGCAAGTGGGCGCTACGTAACTACAGCATGTACAATAAACGGCTGATACAACAACTCACAAAATAAACCACTACTGAGTAAGATATCACTCGATGCCAAAGAACAAGTGACAATATTGAACCATCTCCACAATCTCTAAAAATTCTTTTTAATCCCAATACAAGAGTTTAGAAGATGTCCAATTTTATTCTGAAAACTTAAAGATTACATCTGAACATTACATTTATATATGGCAACTACAGAAGATTTCATGATATTCATAGATTTATTCACTCTCAAACTGTTGCAGAGAAACCAGCAATAGTCTTTTCTACATAGAATCCAACATCCTCAAATTATTGTTATTCAAACACACCACTCAATTCTAACACAACTAGTAAATAATTCTAAACATAAATATAATAGTAATAGTGATGGCTAACAACTACTGAGCACTTAGTAAGTGACAGGCTCTCCTAAGTGATTTACAAACATTAATTCATTTAATCCTCACTATAACTCTGTGAGTTAGATACAACCATTTTAAAAGTGTGAAAACTGAAGCACAGGGAGGTTAAGTAACTTGCCCTAGGCATCAATGCCTTCTCCCATACAAGTATTAATCAGGACCAACCCTGCTTAGCCTCCGAGATCAGATGAGATTGGGCACATTCAGGGTGGTATGGTGGCAGACCAGCAATGCCTTCTATGCGATACAGCAATATATACAACAAAGCAATATTTCTATATCAATACCATTTAGCTATACTTTTATGTTCTTTGAAAACTGATTTTTAAAAAGAATTTTGTCTGTATTAAGTAAGATATGTCAATTACTAAGTCTTTTAAAGCATTACTTTCTTTTCCTCTCTTTACTATAAAATCCATGCGATTTCATGCTTTTAACATTTAAGGTAAAATGTTGTAGTTTAACAACTATGAGTCCACTAATAAACTATTTTAAATTTAAACATTTCTTGAAGCAGAAGCAACAGTTTTTTGTTGTTGTTGTTGTTTGTTTGTTTTTAATATACGGACTCTCGCTCTGTTGCCCAAGCTGGAGTGCAGTGGCACGGTCTTGGCTCTCTGCAACCTCTGCCTCCCAGGCTCAAGCGAGTCTCCTGCCTCAGCCTCCCGAGTAGCTGGGATTACAGGCACCTACCACCGCACCCAGCTAATTTTTGTATTTTTATTAGAGACAGGGTTTCACCATGTCGGCCAGGCTGGTCTCGAACTCCTGACCTTAGGTGATTTGCCCACCTCGGCCTCCCAAAGTGCTGAGATTACAGGCATGAGCCACTGCACCCGGCTGCAACAGTTTTTTATACAGAAATCTACTGAACTATGGCAAAATACCTCCACAGGCATTATTCATAACTATTTTAAGGAACCACACCCAACCTCAGTATTTAAAAAGGAGTAGAACACTATCATTTCGGCTATAGCATTAACTTTTAAAACATATAGAATGTATTGAGCCCAAAATCAAGCGCTTGCTACTGTAATTGTTTCACTTAGAAACAGATGACTCAGAAAAATGATTAAGAAGCACAAGTTCACATGTGTCAGAGTATATGTACTGACAATTAAAACTTGAATTATTAGCACTCAAATTAACTGCTCATATCCAATATGGTATAAAAATGGAAAATGCTTTCATTTTCAAAATATTGGCGATTGTGATTGCTAGGAAAATTGACAGCTCAAAAGATCAGTTAAAGGAAAAGATGGAATAGAAATGGACAATTAAAGAGCTAAGTTAATTTTGCTAAAATGTCTTCAATCTGTGTAAGAAAAAATAGGTTTAAAAAATACACATAAGGTAGAATGTTCTCAGTTAATCCAGACTTAATTTTTTAGATTCAAACAGCCAGTAATCTACTGTCTAGCTGGGAGCTGGAGGTGGTGAAGGTAGAACTGGGGGGGAAGAGATCAGGGTAAGGGTGGAAAGGAGAGCCTTATAAAATATAAAACAAGCATATAGTGCTGGAATTCTTATTACCACCAAATTTGACTCAAAACAGGGAAATGCTTTCTAAGCATCATGAGACAGGATATTCTATTCTGTCCAGAAATTTACTTGAGAAAATCTACTACACCAAAGTCAGGAATTCAGTGGAATGAAAGCTTTTGGCAGCTATTCGTTGGTTACTAAACCCAGTTGTTATAATGACAACACTATCAGGAACTGAAACGAAAGCTAAGTGAACTAATCATAAAAGAGGACCAAATAAGTGTTATGAATTTTGCACCAGAAATTGCCGAGAATATTAAGAATACAAAAAATGAAGTTTTCATACTATTTATCACCAATTAATAAAGTTTACAGATCAGTAGTTCTGCTTTAGAGCTCGTTAGACTTAAAATAAATATCGTGAAAATGAATGTAAGTTATTCTCTCAAAAACGAGAATGTATCTAAAAAATCAGAATTAATCTTGTCTTAAATAACAGTCACATGCGAATAAATATCAACACCTAAGACACAGAATAGCATTTATTCATCAATTTTTTTTTTTTTTTTTGAGACGGAGTTTTACTCTTGTTGACTAGGCAGGAGTGCAGTGGTGTGATTTCGGCTCACTGCAACCTCTGCCTCCCGGATTCAAACAATTCTCCTGCCTCAGTCTCCCAAGTAGCTGGGATTACAAGCATGTCTCACCACGCCCAGCTAATTTTGTATTTTTAGTAGGGACGGGGCTTCTCCGTGTTGGTCAGGCTGGTCTCAAACTCCAGACCTCAGGTGATCTGCCTGCCTCGGCCTCCCAAAGTGCTGGGATTACAGGCGTAAACCACCATGCCTGGCCCATCAAATATTTTTAAGAGCTCACTGTGCGCTAGACAGTAACAAGTTTCATCAAAAAAGCACTTTAAAAGTATGGTTTTTGTTTGTTTGCTTGTTTTGAGAGGGAGTCTCGCTCTGTTGCCCACGCTGGAGTGCAGTGGCCTGATCTCGGCTCACTGCAAGCTCCGCCTCTCGGGTTCTCGCCATTCTGTTGCCTCAGCCTCCCGAGTAGCTGCGACTACAGGCGCCCGCCACCACGTCCGGCTAATTTTTTGTATTTTCAGTAGAGACGGGGTTTCACTGTGTTAGCCAGGCCATCCTCGATCTCCTGACCTCGTGATCCGCCTGACTCGGCTTCCCAAAGTGCTGCAATTATAGGCGTGAGCCACCCTGCCCGGCCAAAGTATGTTTTTTTTTAAAATCTTCTTTAAAAGTTGTACAAACTATTGAATGGTTGGCATAATTCTAAGATTTGTCACTGCTACGAAAACACTAAAAATAGTAAAAGCATAAAAATTCCAATTCAAGAAAGAACAATTTTGCTTAGCATAATGTAAAGAACATTCTCCATGTTCCTCTTTTGAAGAAAACACAATTGAGTTTTTTCTCCTTTGGCTTGCACGCTAGGTCTGGCATTTAATTAATTTTGCAGATCCAATAGTTTATATCAAAATTTCCCATAATATGTTTCAGAACACTAAACTCAATGAAATGTTCTTTGAAGGGAGAGGGAGACTTCCAAAAGCAAACAAATTTTAAAATACTACATGCTCAAACTCTAAAATATTCAACATACACATGTGCGTACTAAAGGTCGCAAGAAGTCACGAACTCTATCTGTTCAAATAACATCTATCAATTTTTCAGAACCAATGTTCCCCAGAATACACCTGGAAGATCTCCGTTTTCTAATTATTTACTAATTTAGAGCCTCTGATAACTTCTTCCTTATGTGACATTGAAATAAGGCCTACATGTCAGTATGACTTTTTTTGGCCCACTGTGAATGTTTTACTTGCATTTTTAAAGAAAATTAAACTTTTAAAGTCATACAACTTGTCTTATATTCACAATGTAGTATACAGTGATTTGGGGTTCCTTATCCAAGCCCATAGAATACGCAGGCAGGCACAAGCTCTCTCTGTAGTCTCAACTGGCAGCCACAAATGCCTCCTAGGCAGGTATCATAAATAATAAACGCCTCCGAAATCAGGCCTCTAGTAAAGAAGGAGGTGCAGAACACTTCAAAGTAAAGGACATGAGAAGATTCAGAGATACTCTAAAGATCATTTAGAGTTCTCCAGTCCCTCATTTCGTACATAAGAAAATTAAGGCCACAGCTACAGCAAGAGCAAGACTCCCAGTCTTCTGATTCCAGGTCTCAGCTCTGTCGTCTAAGTCATGCTGCCTCCTGTGGCCAAAAATACAGTGGTCATGTGGCTGCTAAGGAAAAGCTATAAATTTAAGACTAAATAGCATTATCAAACACCAGCTTCAGCCTTAGAAAGTTAAAGAAAATTAAGAAAAAGTTAATTTTTTCTCATTAATCTAATCATTATATGATAGCTTCATTTCTTGATTTTTTTTTTTTTTTTTTTGAGACAGGGTCTCACTGTGTCGCCCAGGCGGGAGTACAGTAGCATGATCTCAGCTCACTGCAATCTCCGCCTCCCGAGTTCAAGTGATCCTCCCACCTTAGTCTCCCAAGTAGCTGGAACTACAGGCTTACACCACCACGCCTACCTAATTTTTGTATTTTCAGTAGAGATGGGGTTTCACCATGTTGCCCAGGCTGGTCTTGAACTCCTGGGCTCAAAGAATCCTCCCAACTCAACCTCCCAAAGTGCTAAGATTACAAACATGTGGCACCATGCCCAGTGGTATTTTTTTTAAAATATATTTTTTAGTGTGTTTTAGGTCAAATCACTTAATATTTGAGGTCATGTGGCTCATATATCCTATACCTCAGTGTTGGAAACAGGATGTAAGTAACTCAAACAGGTGATTAAAGATTAAACATTTTTTAATTCCCTGAGTTTTCATTCTGTTTCCATATGCATGACACATTCTGATAGCTATTTATATATGTAGCTATCTGATATTCTGTTTATCAAAATTTAGGTACCGTAACTCCCAATTCTGTGATGCCAGCTGATCGTTTCCTAATCAATTTCTAGAGAAATTTCAGATTTTACAGAGGCTCCTTTCCTTAAGCTAATCAGTCATTTCCGCTGTGGTCATTATTTTCCAGGGCTAAAATCCTAAGACTCCTAATATCTACTGTGCATACTAGGAACTACTAAGAAAAAAATATATTCTTTTTTTTTAATATTTATTTATTTTTGAGACAAGAGTCTTGCTCTGGCTGTCGCTCAGGCTGGAGTGCAGTGGTCCTATCTCAGCTCATTGCAACCTCTGCCTCCTGGGTTCAAGTGATTCTCTTGCCTCAGCCTCCCTAGTAGCTAGGATTACAGGCACGCACCACTAAACTTTGCTAATTTTTGTATTTTTAGTAGAGATGGGGTTTCACCATGTCGGCCAGGTTGGTCTCAAACTCCTGACCTCAAGTGATCTGACCACCTCGGCCTCCCAAAGTGCTGCGATTACAGGCATGAGCTACTGCACCCAGCCAAAAGAAAAAAAAAATTCTTTTAAATTGTAGTAATTTTTTTTTAAATACCAAATTAAAAAGTACATTAGATAAAGTAGATCATAAATATTTTTAAAATGCAAATATACAAACCTGCGTAAGAAATATGTGTAAAATATTTTAAAATGCAAACATACAAACTTGTGTAAGCCCCTAATCTTTAGGGGCTTCTTCCCAAACTCCTATAAATAAGAATCAAATGAACATAGATGAATAGACTAAAATGAATGTTGTTAGGCTTACTGTAAAAGTGTGCAAAAAGACCGGGTGCGGTGGCTCACGCCTGTAATCCCAGCACTTTGGGAGGCCGAGACGGGCGGATCACGAGGTCAGGAGATCGAGACCATCCTGGCTAACACGGTGAAATCCCGTCTCTACTAAAAATACATTTAAAAAAATGAGCCAGGCGTGGTGGCAGGCGCCTGTAGTCCCAGCTACACGGGAGGCTGAGGCAGGAGAATGGTGTGAACCTGGGAAGCGGAGCTTGCAGTGAGTGGAGATCCTGCCACTGCACTCCAGCCTGGGTGACAAAGCAAGACTCCGTCTCAAAAAAAAAAAAAAAAAAAAAAAAAAAAGTGTGCAAAAAATCATTACCACTCCCTTTGTACAGACAGAATAAGTAAGAACAAATTAAGTCATCATAGTTTTCACACTTTTCTTAGGAGATGGGGGATAGACTGACAATTTTTTTTTCATTATCTACAAGATTAAACATTGACTTAATACTAGATACTCTGAGCCAAGAGAAAATGGGAGTTGTTTCCTCCCATTTCTTCTCTTTTAAAGCTTCAGTCGCCCATTTTTCATAATAACTAACAGTTTAGAGACTCAACCTGACACACAAAAAATTTAATTCAAGGAGAAAAGACACGATTGAAACATTTTGCAACCTTATGCATTTATTTTGCAGATGGATTTTTATGCCGAATTCTTGACTTGAACTAATTTTTTTCAGTGGAGAAGTGTTTTGGTTTGTCCTGGTCTTTTGTTTTTTGTGTGTGTCTGTTCATTCTGAGAGGAGGTAGATAGGAGTTATGAAAGTTCAGAATCAAATAAGTGTTGAGGTGGAATGCAACTACCCACAATCTTTCTATTTTCCCAAGGACTCTAGACACACCCCAGTCTCTGGGTTTCCCCAATCTTCACCAAAGTGTGGATTGGGTTCTCCCCCTCTTCAGCAAAAGCATGGATGGTCTCCACTAAAGTTAAGCAAAGTTAAGCAAAGCCTAAATGGCTGAGTACAACAATTTTATTGCTTTAAAGTGATAAGTCATATGATATCTCTAAATAATCACTTAATGTTAGGCAAAGCATAATCAGTATCATTCTTTTTACTTAAGTACAACAGTTTTTTGTTTATGTTTTGTTGTTTTTTGTTTTGCTTAATGAACTCAAAAGACAAAACACTTTTTGTTTGGAATCTGATATATCTACAGATTATTTTATGGTACCTTTTGTTCTTCTGTGAATTCAGAATTATTGTGTTGAGCTTGGGCCTCTTTTTGGAGATGTCTTGCTAATCTGTAAGAAGAAAACATGTTATTTAGAATGCAAGAAAAGCAAACTACTGCAACAAAGTGTAACAATTTAAAGCTTTTTAACAATGTGAAGTACAACTATATCTTGTCCTGTTTTTAAAATATAAATCTACACTGAGAATCAAACTCTTCCAAAAAAAAAACCAAACTCTTTATACAATGATGATGAAAGTAAGATACAATACTTTTCATACCATTTCACTGGGACAAACTTCAGCTCTAGGCAGTAAAAATGAGCTGGAAAGAATCTCAAAGGGCATCTAATCCAACTTTCTTTAGTATGGGTGACTTTATTCTATAATAAGCCAATAAGTAGTTGTCCAGATTCTGCTTAAACACTTCCAGAGAGCACCAGTGATAATACCAACCAGAGATACTTTATCAGTCTATCATTAATTTGGTAGTAAAATTAGTCCTAATCCAAATTACAGCAATGACAAAGTGGTAATAATCCATCCTACTATCAATATATACTTTTGAAAACATGTTTTCATGGAAAATAAAGAAAATTCTCCACCAATCAGCAACAGAAATCATTGTCTGTCCAATTATCATTACACTTTCAAATAGCAGCTAGGCCTTGCATGAGTTTTTAATGGATGGATCTATATTATTAGTCCAAGCTCAACAATGAGGACCCAAAGCTACTTCTGAGACAGCAAAAAACCCATACAGTTTAGTTTGTAAAAGTCAATCCCCTTACAAACTAAACTATGAAACTATGGTTTCAACTATACAAAGACCAATTTTGGGCAAAGGATTTGAATAGACAGCTCTCCAAAGAAGATATAAAATGGTCAATAAACACAGGAAAAGATGATTAACATTATTAGTCATTAGGAAAACGCAGATCAAAGTCACAATAAGATATCACTTCATACCCACTAGAATGAGTACAATTTTTTTAAAAATGAAACTGCATCCTTATGGGGGAAAGAGAGAGAAGGTAACAGGTACTGACAGGATGTGAAAAACTGGAACCCTCAGATATTGCTGGTGGGAACGTAAAATGGTACCAGCCACTGTGGAAAACAATTTGGCCATTCCTCAGAAAGTTAAATACAGAGTTACTGTATGACCCAACAATTTCAAAATCCTAGGTATATATCCAAGAGAACTGAAAAATATATGTTTACAAAAAAAAATTGAACACAAATGTATAGCCAAAAAGTGAAAATAACCAAAATGTCCATCAACTGATGAATGGATAAACAAAATGTGGTATATCCATTCAATGGAAAATTATTCAGTCAAAAAGAGGAATGAAGTACTACTAACATGTGTAACACAGATGAACTTCAAAAACATTATGCTAAATGAAAAAAGCCAGATGCAAAAGATATGTGATATGATTCCATTTATATGAAATGTCCAGACCAGATCAATCCACAGAGACAAAAAGCAGATTAGTGGTGGCCAGGAGATGAGGGAACTGAGAGTAACTGATACCAAGTATGGGGTTTCTTTTGGGAGTGATGGGAATGTTCAGGAATTACAGTGGAAATGGTTGCACAACACCGTAAATACACTAAAAACCATGGAATTGTATGCTTTAAACTGGTGAGTTTCATGTGATGTGATATTTATCTCAATTTCTAAAAAATATAGGGGAAAAAACTAGCAAAAGAATTTGAACATTAAACTCCCAAACATACTATGTACTATTCTGTGTGGGCAATAGGAACAGGAATACAAAGGGTAGCAAGTGCTAGATTCTCTACCAAGCCAATTGCAGAAGATAGTTTATGTTTCCAAATAAAATGTACTAGATGGGAGTTCTATGCAATCATGTCTTTAAAGATAAGGCATAAAGTACCTTATTCTTCCTGGCCTCTATCCAATTTATGAAAGGTTTGCATCCTCCTTAACATAAAGCAGAATTAGCCACAAAAAAAACTTAGTATTTCCAAGATAGCTCCACTGTGTTACTTAGTTGAACTGCTTCCATTCATTTATTTCTTTTCTCCCAAAGCTGGAAGTCTCATATTTTCCCTAAAATGTCATTCATAGACTCACTTTTTGTGTATTCTGTACAGGAAAAGGTACAAATAGAAACAACATAGCCATTGTCTTTGTTCTGTACTTGGTTTCTTTTCTAACTCTTACTGGCCTACCACCTGCATGGAGTACTCCCAAGGAATCCATACTCTGTATCCTTAACAACATCAACTATACATCCCTGAACTCAGGGAAGTTACAGTGTCGAATGAGTTTCTTTCTTTGAGTAATTCTATACATAATTTGCAGTGGTGGCCATCAACCTAAGCGGAATCACTGTCAGAAGGGTATAATGCTATACTCCTGTTCAAATGCTAATTGGCAATAGGGAAAGGAAGGATGCTCAATTCAAACAGAATCGTGCTATTAAAAATTACGCAAGGCTGGGCAGAGTGGCTCACGCCTGTAATCCCAGCACTTTGGGAGGCCAAAGTAGACGGATCACTTGAGGTCAGGGGTTCGAGACCAGCCTAGCCAACATGGGGAAACCCCCGTCTCTACTAAAAATACAAAAATTAGCTGGGCATGGTGGCCGGCGCCTGTAATCCCAGCTACTGGGGAGGCTGAGGCAGGAGAATCGCTTGAACCCGGGAGGCAAAGGGTACAGTGAGCCTAGATCGCCCCACTGCACTCCAGCCAGGGTAACAGAGCAAGACTGCGCCTCAAAAAAAAAAAATCACATACTGCATGATTTAAATTATATAAAATGTCTGGAAAAGACAAATCTATAGAGACAAAACGTAGATTAGTGGTTGTCTGGGGCTAGAGTGGGAATATAGAGTGACTGCAAATGAACACTAGGTATCTTGTGGGGGTGATGGAAATTTTCTAAAATCTGTAATGATGGTTGCACATCTTGGTAAATTTCACTAAAAAAATCATTAAATTGTACATGCAAAATAGATGAATTTCATGTATATAAATTATACCTCAATAAAGTTGTTTGTAAAATAACTTTTTTTTGAGACAGGAAAAAAAAAAAAACTTGCCCAGGCTGGAGTACAGTGGCATGATCTTGGCTCACTGCAACCTCTGTCTCCGGGGCTCAAGCAATCCTCCTACCTCAGCCTCCTGAGTAGCTGGGACCACAGGTGAGCACCACCATATCAGGTTAATTTTTGTATGTTTTGTAGAGACTGGGTTTTGCCATGTTGCCAAGGCTGGTCTTGAACTCCTGAGCTCAAGTATTCTACCCATCTAGGCCTCCCAAAGTGCTGGGATTACAGGCATGAGCCAGCGCGCCCAGACTTAAAAAGAACTTTTCAAGCCGACATGAAAAATTAATTTTCTATATCCACAAATGAGTATACCATTTTAAGACAAAGTGACACCTGATTTTGTCCACTGAGGGAAATCTACTGTTCTGAATATTAGATGAGCAAATAAAAGTTGACATTCTATTAGGAAAAGTGAAATAAATCTGTCAAATATTCTTCTCTAGAGACTCATCTCACCCTACAAAGGTGCCTACAAGTAATACAGGACTATTCTCAAGGGAGAGTTTTAAACATACCTTAAGCACATACATAAGTAACTCCTGGAAACCCCACAGCATTCTATGACACAGAAATTCATGCTTCTCAAACCATCTGTAGCAAAGGATCACTTTTCCACCAAATTTGTTCTAGACTAATACTTACATAAAATACAATTTCAAAAATATCATGAGGATGTCAAGTTGCTATAAAGTTTCCACATGTTTACTCTCAATTTCTTTCCTTACCTTACTGCACAGCAGTTTGTAGACCATCACCAATTTGTGGACCACACTTTCAGCAGCAGAGACATAAAACACAGCAAAAATGACAAGTAGGGCTGGGCCCAGTGGCTCATGCCTATAATCCCAGTACTTTGGGAGGCCAAGGCAGGCAGATCACTTGAGATCAGGAGTTTGAGACCAGCCTGGCTAACATGGTAAAACCTCATCTCTACTAAAAATAAAAAAAAAAATTAGCCAGGTGTGGTGGCATGCTCCTGTAGTCCCAGCTACTCGGGAGGCAGAGGCAGGAGAATTGCTTAAACCTGGGAGGTGGAGGTTGCAGTTAGCCGAAATTGCACCACTGCACTCCAGCCTAGGCGACAGAGCGAGACTCTGTCTCAAAAAAAAAAAAAAAAAAGACAAGTGGCCATTATCCAGTCTTCAGACTCATCGATTCACTTAGCAGATACTTCTTTGTTTTTTTAAGTGGCACGATCTCCGCTCACTGCAACCTCCACCTCCTGGGTTCGAGCAATGATTGTGTCTCAGTCTCCTGAGCAGCTGGGGCACAGGCACAAACCAGCACGCTCGGCTAATTTTTTTTGTATTTTTAGTACAGAGGGGGTTTCGCCATGTTGGCCAGGCTGGTCTTGAACTCCTGACCTCAAGTGATCTGCCCGCCTCAGCTTCCCAAAGTGACAGGCGTGAGCCACCACACCCGACTAGTTAGCAGATATTTACTGAGTATCCATGTGCTAGATAAATACCTCAGGATTGATCCTGTGAAATGCCTGATTCTGAGCAACAGTTTCTGTGCCACTCTACCATAAGTTAGGGGCCACATATCCCCAAATAGCGAAATGCAGTTACTTTTCATTGACCATCTAATACTTTGGATGACTATTTTAGTCTTGACAGAATTCATTTAAGTCTTCCAATTGTAGTTTGGCATCGACTCCTTAATGCTCCCATAGCATACTCCTAAATTCATCCATTCAATAGAATAACTACATAATATCTAAACAAATAATGACATGTGGAGAGCCTATTACTACTCTGGACACTAAGGATACAGTAGAGAACAAAATAGACAGCGTCCCAACACCCTGCAACATATGCCCATACTCTACCCTCAAAGAGCTTACAATCCAGTGGGGAGAGAGACAGTAAACAAAACAAATACAGAAAATATACTTTTGACTGTGGTTGGGCACGGTGGCTCACGCCTGTAATCTCAGCACTCTGGGAGGCCGAGGCGGGTGGATCACAAGGTTAGGAGTTCAAGACCAGCCTGGCCAAGATGGTGAAACCTCGTCTCTACTAAAAATACAAAAACTAGCTGGGCGTGGTGGTGTGCACCTGTAATCCCAGCTACTCAGGAGGCTGAGGCAGGAGAACTGCTTGAACCCGGGAGGCACAGGTTGCAGTGAGCCGAGATCATGCCACTGCACTCCAGCCTGGGTGACAGAGCAAGACTCTGTCTCAGAAAAAACAACAGAAACAACAACAACAAAAGAAAATATATTTTCAATTGTGGTAAGCACCATGGAAAAAAATGAAGCAGGATGGAGAACAGGAGGTGTGAAACTGAGATAGAGGCAATGGGGGTGGACAAGAGACTTCGCAATTTTAAACAGGGTGTGGCCAGAGAGAGCCTCACTGAGGATATTTGAACAAAGACCTGAAGGAGGTGACGAAGTGACCCAAACAGATAATGGGGGAAAAAGTGTCCCAGAAAAAAAAAATACAAGAGCCCTAAGGCAGAACTACGTTTCAGGAAATAGCAAGGAATGTGGGAGCACTTATTCTTTTCATACTTCTATAATTTCAACACCCAGTTACTCCAAAATCTTCCATTGGATTCTCAGTGCTTTGAGGGCAGAAATCAAATTTTATTCATCTTTGTATCCCCAACCCTTACTTGTTGAGTAATGAAATTGTTTAAGCTACAGTATTACTACTGTAGTAATAATACAGATATGTACTATCATACTGAGATGGTATGATAATACAGATATGTACTATCTCTCCCCCTACATCCCTCCCATAAAGCAGCTCCTGTATGTTGTATGGCTATAAAAAGACTGCTGCCTACCCAATTAGAAATCCCAATTATCCTAGACTCTTCCTCCTTCTACACCCTCGATATCCAGTCAATAACTAAATCCTGTCAATTCTTGTTTACATCATTATAGTGGCCCTCAATTCATGTCTTTTGCTGCAGCCTTTCCTCCCAGGTATTTCAAATGAAAAAGATAATTTGCATTCATTTCTGGATATATTAAGTAATTTTAAACTCTTGACCTCATTTTATATTTAGCCTACATGTTTACAGAATTAAGCCAATCATTACATGTCTTCATTGAAATTTGACCCTGGCAGGTTTTATAATTTGAGGACTACTAGAATCATGAAGTTCAGTGGTTAGTACCGAGGTCCAACAATGGATTTGCACGTGCCTATCACCCTCACCTTCATGTTCCTAGAAATTCACACTAAACAGCTTGCATTTTCAATTTTCCTTTGTAATTTCAATTGGACATGGTATTCTTCACTTTCCATTGTGAAGTCAGCCGCCCAGTGTCAACAGCTGCTAGGTCTCACATCACAAGTAAGATATGGCTTTCTATTTGAAGCTATGCAATATTAGTTAATATATAGAATGGGTATACATAGGTGTTTACTGTCTAATTGGCTGCAGTATGGAAGGGTGTGTTCTCCGGTAATAAAGAAAATCTTATAATTTGTCTAATTCACTTACAGAATTACTCTCAGTGCATCTTAAGCGCTCTGTAGTAGAAATAGGATTTGGATTTTCTTCTTTAAATCCCAGATTTCAGTGGTATCAGCTTGTGACCTGAGTAATCGGTTTAACCTGAGCTTCAGTTTTCCTCATTTTGTAAAATGAGAATAATTATATTCTCACTGGGTTATTGCAAGAGCAAATGAAATCATGTGAAAGTGCAAAACAAATGCTACTAGTTGTTACACATCACAAAATGGCCCAGGGCACGGGTTTTTGTCGGAGCTTTTTGAAACTACAGGCAATTCAAAGTCAGTACCTACAGATTTAAATTATCTTAATAGATAAAAACAACTATTGTGGGGACAGGCTAAGAGTTTAGATCTTCCAAGTACGAAGCGTTTATTCTTTCCAGAAATCATTGTGTGTCAGGGGCGGAGAGGGGGTGGTGGGGAAGGCCGGGTTATTCTACTCATACATGGTTTAATACTCAGTGAAATCTCAAACAATAACTTGCTTTAAACAAAGAATAATTAATGGCGAGTTTGCAAACAATAGCATTTTGGCAGACAGTTCTTAAGTTCAGAAAAATGTGCAAAAACCTAAGCAAGGTTTTATGTGTATATAAATCTTGTCTTTTATTTTTTAAGACATCCCTGAAGTTTTCTGCGGAAACCAGAAAGGGCAAGAAATTGGTCTTAGGTTGCTCAAGGAAACTGTACTCACTTGTACCCTGCGGCTATACATTATATACAGGAAAAGGAGGAGGGATCCAAGGAGGGAGTGGTGCTCCAGTGCGTGGTCCATTAATTCACATTTTGCTCTCTTCTGTTCACATCCTGCGCGGACTCCACCCAAGGCAACCGAGCGAGGGGGTGGGTGGGACTCAGAGCCTACCAAATAACAGTCCCAGAAACCGAAACGAAATCGAGGTGGAATTCTGAAAACACGGCTCACCAGAAAGAGGGGTGGAGAAGAAGCGCGAGAGGAGACCCTTCTTTTGGCAGAAGAGGTATCCCTGGCCCTCGCTGCTTCCTGGGGAATCCCCTCCCCTCAATCGCAACCAGTTCCCTCCTTTCCTACACATGGAAGGAGGAAGACACACACAGAGCAAGGCCACTCATTCTTGGAACGTGGGCGGAGAACACACAAGTATTCCTCAGAGAATTTCAAAGGGAAATCGAGGAAGGGCAACCTGGGAGAGGAGGAGGAAAGGAAACTGACTGCCAAGTGGTGGACCCGTGAGACCGTGGAAAGGAACTAAGTAGATAGCCTACTAGGGCCGGCGCCCCAAGAAAGAAGGGCTACCTGTTGAATGGAACTGTCCCTGCGGAGGCGGAGGGGGAAGAAGGCGAGTCACCCCAGAGAGCGGAGCCCTTGTCCCCAGAGCAGCCTCGCTGGGGCTGGTGGCGAGGGATCTCAGCCTCAGTGCCTGCGGGGCCCCACCCTGAGAAGCCTTGGCTGGCAGATACAGTGATGAGAGACACCGACAGAAACAAGGGAGAGGCGCACGACTGGAGCCGGTCTGGCCCGCTCCCGCGGTTAGTCACTCACATCTGATACTCGTCTATCGCCTCCACCAGCTGGCCCCAAGAGTCGAAGTCGGCGCCTCTCCTAAAACTGGCGCCCCAGCGCTGCAGCAGACTCCGGGTCACCTCCGACATGGCCGGTCCCCACCCCGTCCCCTCCCGCCCCTACCCCAGCAAGGCCGGGTTCTAGGGCGCCATCCTCCCCGGGCCTGGCCCCGACATTAACAGGGCCAGGAGGAACCGCTACGGCCACCACCGCCACCCGCCGAGGAGCCGCCCAAGCCCATTTGCCGCCACAGCCAAACTTTGCGGCTCCAAAAGCGACCGCCCCGCCGAGACCCCGCCCCCGGCCCCGCCCCGCGTTAGGTTGAGGCCGCCCCACTGCGCCGAGGGCCGCCATAGCTATTGCGGCATCCTCCCTCCGCTCCGCAGGCAGGGGCAACTCTTCTCTTCCTGTCTGGGATAAAGACCATAGCTCAAAAGGAAAACCGAGGGAGGAGAAGTTAGAAAGAGCTGATGAACGGAGCGTTTTGAGGGGACTGTGACGCCGCGGCAATCCCCGCCCTGGAACTGCGCGCACTACCGCCTCGGTAGCTGTCATGGCCGCCGGGCCACGTGACTCCGACTTGGCGCCGGCCTCGCTTTTCGTCACTCTGGTTTTGTAGGCTCGGTTCTCCGACTCCCTCTTTTTCCTCGCTTGTGGACTCCGATATTGCCATTCTTCCCTTAGAAGAACTGCTGTACCGACTCTGAGAAATTTGGTAAGTATGTCAGAGGATGGGTGTTTCTCAGTAATACCCCCCGCTGTTTCTCCGGAGTCTCAAGCAATAGGGTCACCCCCTTTTACATTAGTCTCCATAGACCCTCTGGACAGCGGACCGAAAGTCTCCTTCTAATGCCTTGAAACAAACGACAGAGAGAAAATCCATATTGGTTCCCACAAATCAGTAGCATTAACAGCTAGATCCGCTGAATCCCCTTGCCCCGCATCTCCATCGGTCTTTGGAGAGCTTATGATACAAGCTAAACTGGGGTTCGTTCGGCCGTCGTCTGGCCACCTCTCCCGCGTTGACAGTATCGGCTTTCCACAAAAATGCCTGTTTGGAAAGAGGGGAACTCAAGTGTTGGCGCGTGCGCACGGTCGCCGCCCGCCGCCTCGAACGGGACTGGGCAGGGGAGGAAGAGGCTGGGTGGTAAACAGGAAGTGGGCCCTCAGAGCTCGGGGGCGGCGCTCAGGTAGGTTACTCCGGGGACTCGGGGCCTCTGGAGTGGGGATCCCTTGTCAGGAACGGGAGTCCTCTTGTGGAAGTGTGTTAGCTTACAGCTTCGATCCGAATGTTGTATTGGTGGCTCTAAAGTCACCCTTGTCCCTGCGGGTGGGTGTGTCCTTCTTCTATCCCACCCTAGGAACTCCCGAAAACTGAAGAGCGCCGGGTCGCAGAAGGGGAGAAGATGGGGCAGAAACTTACCCTCTTCTTTCCTGAAGTAAAGATACGCAAAACTTCAGACATTTTCATCCAGGAAGTAGGAGGCCGCATTAAAAGAAGTATTTGTGGAAGATTTCGCAGCATCAAGTGCTGAGTGTGATACTAGCTCTAAGTTTATTTGTAGGCACGTAGATGCTGTGTTAGGCTATCGGAATTTATATGGAAGATGTGTAGATGATGGTATTTTCTGAAATAGCTCGTTAAATGTTTCGAGTCCTAAATAAACCTGCTCAGTTTTTCCTTGGGTACACACTGCGTTCTCTATTCGTTAAATATGTGGTGCTCCTCAAAACAGGCTTTGTCATGAATAAATAAATAGCATAAAGGAAGCACTTAATGTAGGCATTTCGTACACTGTGCAGCCAACATTATTTTCTAATAATAGGAAAAGTCGATTGTCAGGCTTGTACAGTGCCTTCAAATTAAGTAAACCTAACCAGAATTTCTTTGTTGCTTCCTGGAAGCTAATTGCCATGTTTAGGTCTTCGCCTTGGCTTTCTCGGTAAAATCTGCTGCACTACCTACTCGAGGACATTTAGACAAGACATGCTGCTTTTTTGTTTTTTTCTTTTTTTTTTTTTTTTTTTGAGATGGAGTCTCACTCTGTCGCCCAGGCTGGAGTGCAGTGGCGCGATCTCGGCTCACTGCAAGCTCCGCCTCCTGGGTTCACGCCATTCTCCTGCCTCAGCCTCCTGAGTAGCTGGTACTACAGGCGCCTGCCACCACCCCCGGCAAATTTTTTTTGTACTCTTAGTAGAGATGGGGTTGCACCGTGTTAGCCAGGATGGCCTCGATCTCCTGACCTTGTGTGATCCTCCTGCCTCGGCCTCCCTAAGTGCTGGGATTACAGGCGTGAGCCACCGCTCATTTATTTTTTAAGTAGAGGGTATGGAACTTCAATTTTTTTTTTTAAGTTGGCATCTCACTTAGGTAGTTTTTTTTTTTTAATTTTTCCTTTTTTGAGACAGGATCTTGCCCTGTCGCCCAGGCTAGAGTGCCATGGGGAGATCAGGGCTCACTGCAGCCTACATCTCCTGGACTCAAGGGATCCTCCCCCCTCAGTCTCCCCAGTAGCTGGAACCACAGGCGTGGCTACGATGCCCGGCTGATTTTTGTAGAGACGGGGTCTCAACAAGTTGCCCAGGCTGGTCCCAAATTCCTGAGCTCAAGCGATCCAGCCACCTCGGCCTTCCAAAGTGCTGAGATTACAGGCATGAGCCACCACACCCAGCCCAGTGTTTCCATTTTATAATAGAATTTATTGGTCAAGTATTGTATTACATTTTTATTTTAAGAATATTCTTTAGATATTTTTTGGAAAGTACATTTTATTGTAGAACACATGTTATAACCAATCCACTGTTGTCAGCAATATGTCGGAAATACAGCAATTAACTTGAAACTTATTACAAGTAGCCTTAGCAATATAATCAGGGTTACCATTTGAACCCGTTTTGGAAATTACATTCATCTGGTCCTGTGCCCTTTTTACTTGCAGTTGTCCAACCAAAATCTAGTACTTTGCTATTCAGAAGTGTGTGGGGACCAGCAGCATCAGCATCTCAGGTCCTGCCCCAGGCTAATGACTTAGAGCCTGCATTTGACAAAACCACCCACCCCCAGGTGATTTTTATGTATGTTAGAGTTTAAACATTACTGCTCCTATATAGGTATGTTAAGATTGAAGTTATTGTGGGCAGATTTTCAAATGCTGTTCTTTTTTTAATAGGCCTGGTTTGAACATAGACCATCATAAATAGACAAAACATACCTGAGGCCGGGCGCGGTGGCTCACGCCTGTAATCCCAGCACATTGGGAGGCCGAGGCGGGTGGATCACTTGAGGTCAAGAGTTTCATTCCAGTCTGGCCAATATGGTGAAACCCCGTCTCTACTAAAAATACAAAATTAGCCAGGCTAATTTTTGAATTAGATTTTTATACTATTGAAATAAATTTTTATACTATTTACCTTGTTTATTAAATATTTTATATTTAATTTTTGTACATTTTTTACTTTTTTGTCTGTAGAAAACATCTGGAGAAAATGACCCATTGGTTTCATAGGAACCCATTAAAAGCCACAGCTCCTGTGTCTTTTAATTACTATGGTGTAGTCACTGGCCCTTCTGCTTCAAAAATATGCAAGTAAGTTTATTGATTAAACCACTCTTAGATGCAAGGTACTTTTTTTGGTTCCATGGGCAATACAAAAATACGTAACACACTGTTTCTAACTTTGAGTTTGTTATAAATTTATAAATGACATGTAAACAATTAAATCATAGATTATTTAAACTTTGGTAGTCTTCTAGCCCTGGATCCTTAATTTTAGATCAGTAAATGAGTCCCAGAGAGGCTAAAGCAATCATAGTAAAACAGTTAATTTGTGTATTACAAGAGTACAAGAGACTACACAAAGTAGTGTTTGAAAATTTTTATTTTTTATTTTTGTTTTTATTTTTTGAGATGGAGTTTCACTCTTTTCATCCAGGCTGGAGTGCAATGGCTTAATCTTGGCTCACTGCAACATCTGCCTCCTGGCAGAGGTTCAAGCAATTCAAGCAATTCTCCTGCCTTAGCCTCCCAAGTAGCTGGGATTAGAGGCACCCGCCACCACGCCCTGCTAATTTTTCTACTTTTAGTAGAGACGGGTTTTCACCATGTTGGCCAGTCTGATCTCAAACTCCTGACCTCAAGTGATCCACCCGCCTCGGCCTCCCAAAGTTCTGGGATTACAGGCGTGAGCCACCATGCCCAGCTGTATAGGGACATTTTAAATTGGCCACATATTAAACTTCTTGACTTCAGAGTAGGGAGAGATCCCTATGACCTGAAATGCCTTCAAAGTGTTCACATAGGAAAAAGTACTTGTGATAGGCCTTAAATGAATTGTATGGCTTAGATCAAGAGTTGACAAACTGTCCTATGGATTTGGATCATTGCTTGTTTTTATTGGAACACAACCAGCCCCACATTTATTGACATACTGTGTATGGTTGCCTCTGGCTGTTTTCCTCTACAACACCAGAATTTAATAGTTCCAATGGATACCTTATTACCAGAAAAGCCTGAAATGTTTACTATTTGGTGCTTTCCAAAAAAATATTTGGGTATTCTTGATTTAGATTGTCAGAAGGGAAAGGAGAAGGTTATTTCTGTCAGGAATACCTTTGTGCTAGTGATAGTGAGTAGAGCAGTTTGGCTGAAATGAAAGCGATAAATGCAAAAGATGTGTTGAAGGAGGAGTCAATGGACCTGATTGACTAATTTGCCTTGGGAGGCTGAGAAGGATTCAGTCTATATGAGATACAGAACCTAAATGATTAAGACATTGGTGGTACCAATAAAGGAAAATCTGAAGACTTGCCGCTTTTATGGAAAGAAGTGATTACAACAAAAGATAGGATAATCGGCTTATTAATCTAAACCAATGGTCCTCAAACTTTTTTTGAAAGCTGCATAGTATTTATTTTAGGCCTTGTGGTCCACATGCAGTCACTATTGCATATTATTCTTTGTTCATTTTTACAAGCCTTTTAAAAATGTGAAAACCATTCTTAATTTGAGGACTGAACAAAAATAAGCTGTGGAGTGTACAAAAACTGGTTACAGTTTGTAGTTTGTCAACCTCTGATCTAGACTCCTGGAGGCAAGTCCCAGCTTAGCTGTTTTATCTATACCATTGGGCAAGTCCCTTAACTTCTTTGGGCCTAATTCCTAATCTATAAAATGAACAGCCTCAATTAAATATATCTGAGGTACATTTTTCTCAAATTCTGTAATTTAAGATGAATAGAACTTTACAAGTTGAGCTGTAGGTGATGATCAAGCATCAATATGGAAATGCTAGCAAACTATTTGAGTGCAGAATAGGCTTTAAGGATTCAAATTTCTGCCTA